ATTATATATTCATATTTAAAAATAGAAACAAAAGGTAAAAAATAAAAATATGAATTCCTGTACCTCATCCCAAACTGTAAAATTATCATCTTGCACAAGCTGCTCAAGTGTCAACACTAAGTTTTGGAAACCATGACCCAAAACCAGTTTCTACCCTACATATCAAACCACGTCATTTCAATGCTGCAAAACTTTGACCACTTCTAAAACACCTACACAGAATAAATGCCAAACTGGTTAAAAGGTTTTCAAGACACTTTGTAAACTCATACTCCAGCCTCTATTAATCATGCAAACTATGCTCAAAAGACCCTAGACTACTCATTATGACTCCAAAGGGTTGTGCTCCTCCATGCCTGAATGCCATTGTTGCAGTTAGTCATTGAACCTGAAACTCTCCTTGCCTCCCCTAATCTACTAGACAAACTGCCTAGTCAGGTAAAACTGAAATACAGAACCTTTTTCAAATCTTTCCTCTCTACCTTATGCATAACTGTATTTAAGCAAACATTATGGTTATAATAATTATTTGCTTATTCTTCTGCCTATGTCCTAGACCCTAAAAGCATTTCAAGGGCAGGACACTAACTTATTCATTTTTCTATTTCCTCCACCAAGAATAGGGACTGATTTAGCATCCAGGGTTGGGGAACCTGCAGCCTTGGGGCCACATCTGGTCTTCTGGATCCTTGAGTGCAGCCTTTTGACTGAATGCGAATTTTACAGAACAAATCCTGTTAATAAATGGCTTTGTTCTGTGAAGTTTGGATGCAGTCAAGGAAAGGCTGCACTTGGGGATCTGGAGGGCCACATGTGGCCTTGAGGCCACTTCCTCATTTTGAAATATATGGTCATAAAAAAGATATTATTCTCTCACTTCTTTCCCTAGTAAAAGTAGTTTTAAGAGGTTAAGCCTCCCAGTTTTTAAAAGGACTGAAAGAAGAACCCAAGGATATTACTGCATTGCTTTTAGCTAGAGGCAGTTTGAGGATATAATCTTTTATGGTCACCAATGACTTCATATTTTCTAACCCTTCAACTGTCCTGGCATATTACTTGCACGGAGTATTACAGAAGTAGATAGTGAAGCCCATCCTGTCAGGCGGTCACACAAACAAGCAAAACTTCTAGCATGAATTTATGACCCTTAAAAATATAAAAGCAGTTCAGGCACTATAGTTCCTAAAAAAGAATGTAAAGGCTACATTTTTAGTAACATCTGCTGGACCAGCATAAAAGATTAACTTAGTCACATTTGCTAGCTTCCAGGATGAATAATACATTGTCAAAGCAGAAGGATTGCCTGTGAATTAAAATAATGCTGATGTGGAATAATCAGCATTTATTTCAAAAGATCAAAATAGTAACTTAAGTAACAGAAATGGTTCTGTAAACTTCTGTTTTGCTTTTTATTTCATCTCTTTGAGCCAGAAGAACAGGGAATATTAATTTAATTAACTCTACTATCACTAATCTGTGTGAAAATGTCAGATTCTTCATTTTTAAGTGAAAAGGTGGCATATTTTCTCACATGGTTTTAAAACAATTATTGCAATAAACAATGGAAAGAATAATGTAATAAATAGATTGAGACATGGAAATGGGCAGATTTGTACAGCACTGGCAAACTTCTCAAACACTGCTCCCATTTACGTATTCTCGTATCTGACTGATTTCTCTCTTTGTAGTCCTCATTTAAAAAACATACTTCTGGAAGAAGGAGTTTATAAAATGAATTTACACTAAAAAACTAGTGCCATATGAGGTCTCTTTCTCACATGAAATCAGGATTCCTAGTGGCACTGCTGAGAACTGAGAATATAGGGCAGAAAGAAAGTCCCAATGAGATATTAGGCCATAGTTAAATTATTTGTTAGAAGGAGACAAATAAGGGGCATTTTAGAGTCCATACTTATTCTCTCCACTGAAATGATGTGGGGTGATCTCATTTTACATATCACATAGATAAATCATTGTATAAGGAATGTACCAGACTTCTAAACCAGTAAGCACTACATAGTGAATGGTCTAGCTCAACCTTTGTCCAACTCCTCTGTCCTGTATTATGGGACTGATAAAAATTTAGATTTACTTGGTTTTTCCTATAGAAGGTGAACATTAGATACACAGTCATCAAAACTTTTTCCCTTCAAAATCATGTTGAATTAATTCTAAACTGTAGGAATAGTAACCATATCTGTTTCAGTTTACTATTTAATCTCCATTAGTTAACATAGTACCTAATATATAGAATGAGAAAGGTACTTATGAAATAATTATGAATAGATGGATGAAAGGAAGGTAGGAAGGAAAGTTTGCAGGAAGTTTTATTGTTTTTCCTATGCTAGACAGATAATTTCTAGGGAAACTCATCATATACCACCTCATCTCTTTAATGCTTTTGGGCAGCAGAAATGGTGGGGACAAAAAGATAAAAACATATTTTAAAACATATTTGACGAAAATATTCCATAAAACTATACTTCCCAATTATCTGCAAGGTTAATCAATTTAAGGTTATAGGTGTAAAAATGTAGTAAATGTATAAATTCTAAAGTATATCTGATCGAATATTCTGGTCAGATATTGTGACATTTACTTAATTGTTAATTGACAACAACTCAGTGAAAACTGTTAACACAAATGTCATGTATCATTTTGAAGATCAAAGCTGAACTAAGCAGGTGGGTAGATTCCAAAACAGTCAAAGCTCTAAACAAACAGTTTAAAAAAAAAAGTGTATGGAAGTATATTCAATTCAAGATCCTCCAGTGCATTTGTGGTAATGGAATTCTGAAATATGTGGACCAAGTGATCATCTTCTCTTGGTCTCCAAAAGGGGTGGAAGAAGTATAAGCTTGAGTAAAATCCAAAAGGAGAAACAGTTACTAGTGGCATCCTTTTATAGCAATAAGAGATATTTTTGTTTAAATTCAGATAAAAATTGACACTGCTTAACAAAATCTCATAACAGCAAGTAGACAGTCAAGGTTAAATTATTTAAACTTTTTTTTGTGTGTGAGTATTATATCCCTTGCTTTCAAATATATGGGCCTTGCCCTGATATCTTGTCAAGAACCATAAATAATATTTCTAGTAATATGAATATGGGAGCAGGTTTCTGGGTGGTAAATTGAAACTTCAAGAATAAGAAGTTGAAGAATTTTAACCCACTAAAGAGAAATATTAAGAGTATTAAAATATCTAATGTTACTAATGTTACTTATCTTTTTTCTTTCTTTTTTTTCCAGTTAAATAGTATTCTTACCACAAAGAATAAAGCCAAATATTTTATGAGCCCCAAACACAATTAAAAAAATCATAGATGAAATAGTAGATCATCCTTTGCTTCAAATCTCTTTAATTAACAAACCACTTAATGGATTGATTTAGAAGGTTTTAAGAAAAAATATTAACATTAGCTACTTTCTCATAAAAAGTTTGTACTCCAAAAAGTTTTCACTGCTTCCTATTTTGTCTCACAGTCCTTTCTAATTTCCGCTGGTATAAATCAATTTAGATTTATTAGCTTTGTACAAAAGAGCTCCAGTAAGTTTTTAATAATAATTATCATTATCACTGATTAAAGTTATATTGTTCAGGCCAGATGGAGTCCTTTTCCTGTCAGCTACAATGAGCTTGCATTATGTAGTTATAATGTGTTTGGATCTAAATAAACAGATGGCAGAGTGACAGGATATTATATACTGGTGATGTCAGCAGCAGTGCTTCACAAACGAAATTGCTTTAAATAAACTCTGTTGTAATAAGAATCCCAGTACTTTTAAGAGGTGACTGGAATTGAGCCTAAGTATTGTATTAACTTGGAAATAGTACTGTTCACTTCCAGAAAGGTAGACCATCAGAATGGTTGAGGTTCAGCCAGCGAAAGTGTGACTGCTGAATCCATATCTTAACCATGTAAGCATTTAACATTATAGGCACACTCAGTTTCATTGGAAGGGGAAAAAAACCTTCCAAATTATAAGAACGTTCAAGTTGAGGAGTGATTAATAAAAACTGTGGGTCATGGAAATATGGAAACATTTGATAAAACACTATTTGATAATATTTGCAATACAGCTATCTCTGTAAAACACTTTGAGTAGGATTATACCATTAATAATCAGTATTAGAAAATTGAAGGAGAAGGTTTAGTAAGAAGCATATTATGGAAAAACTTTAGTCTGTAATATACATTGTCATGTTTTCGTATCTGTTTTTCATTCTAAAAATGAGCCATGTGTCTATAGAAGTTAGAATGAAGCTATGAAATTTAAGAATAAGGTTCAAAGAAAGTCCTTTTACATTATTACTTCTAGTTAATATTATTTATTTTGATTCTTTATGGGAATTTATATGTGGGACAACTATGTTTATTAAGGCAAATACTCATAGTAGATGAAGATGCCATTATAGGAGATCAAAGCTAATACTTGAAAATACAAGTAATATGAAACAAATTTAGAAATGTATATTAAATAATTGAAATTAAGCTTTCAAAAATGTAGTTTTTTTAAATGCATGAGTTTTATCCTTTATTCTGATAATTTTTCATGTGTTTGTAAGAATATATTCTTGTTTTCATAGACTTAAACTCTTGCCTTAATTTTTAATATCTGTTGGTATCTGTAAGCTGTGATCTTTGGAAATTGTATCAAGTAGAATAGACCAATAGGATACCATGTACAAGGGTCAGAGTGAAACTTATTTACTATAACAATTTACTTCTGACTTTCTGAGAAAATTCTCAAAGTCATTTACTTCCTTTTCTTATAAAATGATGAGATGATTTGAATATCAGGAGATTGTATTTCAGTTTCACATATATTGGACATTCAAGTTTTCCTACTTAAGTGGGCATTTTATGGGTTATGTTTCAACTCTAGTCTGACATAAAAAGTCCTCATAAAAGAATAATTCCTCTGAGGAGTTACTCCTAGTCGAGGAGTGAAAGATAAATAATGTGTATGTCCTTTTTCCCTTTTCTTTTTCTGCAGGTGGACGTTGCCATAAGTCTTGTACCGGCCGATGCTGGGGACCCACAGAAAATCACTGCCAGACTTGTAAGTGTTCAACAGTGAGAACACATAGGTTTGACATGGTCAAGGAATTTTAATGATTGATGCTTTTCATACTTCTGGTCATGTAAAACCAAATAGTGAGATTTTGCCTCCTTGTGGTAGATTTGCTTCCATTCCACGTAAACTGCCCAATTTCATTGCTTCCAGATGAAACATAACATATGAAACTTCTATATTTCTCTGTGGTTTCTAGGTTAATGATCCTACTTGCACAGCTGTGGTGATATTAGCTATGAGTTCAGAGTTTGTACATCAGTAGAAGTAGGAAATCCAAATATGTTCATAATGATAACAACTCAATTTTAGGTTAATTGGCTATCTATGTATTTTTCCCATATAGTTATATCACTATTTGTTCACTAGAAAAAAAAAAAAAAAGAAAAAGTAAAGGAAAAAGAAAAAGAAGGAAAAGAAAGAGTACTATGTACCCACTATATTCCAGGTGCTGTTCTAGGCACAGGTATACAAACTACGTGAATCATGGGTATAGATTCACTATTGTTGACAATGAATATTTCCCTTAGTACACATTGTTCCTAGGATTAGTCTTTAGCTAAAGTACATATGAAGGTATCATCATTGCTATGACATTTAAAAACAAAACATGCTGAATATAAAGACAGGTATCTATTTTTTTAACATTCTTAAAGTCATATGATACTAAACCAGCACTAAACTTTCACTAATCTTAATTTCTTAAAAAATGAAAAACAAAATCTCCTATACAAATGGTAAATACTTGTTTTTCTTACTGCAATGAAAACAGCTGAAATAATATATGGAAAACAGTGTGGTGACAATTTGACATATATTTCTTTATTAGCGCAGAAGACACATAGATTACATTATTGAAAATTTGAACATACAAATATTAGACATTGTGGAAAATTGTTAGACTGTTGGATGAAAGCTGAGACATTTAACTTGTCTCAGTTCAGGTTATTTGCTAGACTCTGTTCTAAAAAATATATATAAATAATATAAAACTATTGTGAACTACCAAATAAAAGAGTATAGGAAAGATGTTTTCAATGGTAAATGATGTCTTAAATTTATTTTTTCAATTCATGGGTATTTTTTTTCAAAATTCATAAAATAGAAAAGAATATATAGTTAAAAAGTATCTTCCCACCTGTGTCCCACCTTTATCCCTCAATCACTCATAGGCAACAAATAGTATTAATTCCAAAGATAATTCCAAAGATAATTTATGCATGCCCAAGGAAGTATGTATATAAGTGCACACTCCTTTTCATTCAAATATTAGCATGTTTTGTATGTTGCACTGCAACTTGATTTTTTTAAATCCATGCATATGTGTGTGAATTATTTATAGTAATAATTTCTGGAAGAGGAATTAGGAAGGTCATGGACATGTATTTGCAATTCGATACAGATGACCAACATGGAGATGATGTTCTCTATAGAAGTTGTAGCAGTTCGTTCTGCCAGGAGCAACGTATATGAAGGCCCGTTTCCCTCCCTATTCCTTTGACAAAGCAGGGCATTATCGAACTTTTTGGGTCTTTGTCAAAAGGTTATAAGAAAAATGGTATCACAGTGTAGATTTAAATTAACTTATTTAATAGAAACAATGTTTTACAGCAGGAATGTTTTGACAAGAATTTTAAATAGGATTCTAAAGTAAGATTAGATTACTGTGTGAAATTCATCCACTACAACATTTGGAGACAGTGTTTTAATAGCAAAGAATTTGAAACAGAGCTGAAACAATACTGGGATGACATTGATGTGGCCATTTGCATGAAGTCAAGTTCTCTAAAATAAAGAAAAATCATTGCAACACTTTGTGACAAAGTGACAAGTAACCATGGAAATCGTTTGAGTGCCAGAGATCCACTGGTCATTTCATGGCAAAAAATTTCTGAATTGCCAAACTTAAAAATGAGTTTTTACTCACTCTGTTACTTCATTTATTCATTCATTTTACAGAGGTGTCAAGGAAGATTCTGGGAAGGCCACTTATAGCTGAGCTTCTCTGGTGGCCTGTCTACCCCTTGTCTCCTGGTGGAAGATGGGTATCTCAGGCCCACTGGGCTCGCCACCTTAGATCTGGGGGAAGAAGGAACTTAGATTTGGGAAATGCTGGTATGAGTCACTCTTCTTTTGAGTAGGGGCTTCTCAGGACTCACTGTCATTGTATTGTTCTTCCAGTGCTAGATCCAAAACCAAATGACTTGCCCCCACCACCTTTCAGAGTTCTCATTTAGTTGCCTCTTGCATTATTTCCAGGGTTTATAGTTGAATTTAGCGGCAGGAAGAAACAGGTCTACATCATTATTTCCAGATCAGAAATCCCATATTGGCTGGTCCAGTGGTAATGGGTTATCAGAACTTATTAACATTAGTGTCATCAAAGCTGGTATTCAACCCTCCACTGCTAAATTTGACTGGCTTTAAAAATAATACAATACAATAAAATAAAAAAATAAATCTGTATAGTATGTTCAATAATACTATTAATAGTAATCAAAATTATTTTAATCATTAATTTTATCTTTGTCTAATTTTATGTGCATTTTTTGTAGAATATAAAATGCAGTAGTATAGTTAGATTCTATAGATATAGATATATAGTCAGTTTCCCATATATGTCGTTTCTGCATGGTAGAGTCAACCAACTGCAGATCAAAAGTATTCAGGAAAAAACATAATGAAAAATGACACTACAACAATAAAATATAATGCAAAGCCAAACAGTATAACAACTGTTTCCATTGCATTTACTTGGTATTGTGTAGTATATATAATCTAGAGATGATTTAAAGTGCATAGGAGGATGTGTATAAGTTATATGCAAATGCTATGCCATTTTATATAAGGGAGGGACATGAGCATCTGTGGATTTTGGACCTCTGTAGGAGTTCTGGAACTAATTCCCTGCAGATACCAAGAGAGACTACATATATTAGATAGACACATAGATAGGTAGGTAGATAGATGGATAGAGAATAATTCTCTTGGATGTATGAGCAAACTCTTGAAAATCACTATATTAAGGTAGAATGGGAAAATAACATACATGAGTTTTCCCCAGCTTTGAAAATTAAATTTTCCTTCAATTCAAGTTTTCCTTCAATTCATAAAATTTTGAAACTTTTAATTTATTTTAATGTATTTGATTATGTTGATTAAAACTTTCAAAAGTAATAATTTCCACCAATATCTCTTATTCTTATAGTAGACAACTTCCAGGATAATTGCCACACGGACACATGGTTTTCTCTGAGAACTACCCCCTCTAGAGGGTCAATCCTTGTAGTCATTTTTATAGGACACTTTACCCTTGCTCACAGGGCAGTGTTTCTCAACCAGAGGTGGTTTTGTTCCCCAGCTCCAGGGGATATTTGGTTACCTCTGAACAGTAATTGTTGTCACAACACATAAGTAAGTGGTGACCATCTACTGCCACTAATAGGGTAGAGACCAGGGTGCTGCCAAACACCATACAATGAACAGAGAGCCCCTCCCATCCCTACTCAAACAAAGGAGAATTGGTCAGTACAAACACAAAATATTAATAGCACTGAGAGTTGGGAAATCTTGTAATAGGAGTCGATAAATGACCAAGGCTAGGCCAATCAGATTCTCTCCCCAGATTTGGAGTCCAGAGACACTGGTTATACTACCTTAGAAACCTGAACCAAAAGATATGTTAAACCTAATTGTTAATGAGAAACAGACATAACCAGTCCTCAAAGACACCAAAAAAATAAAGCAACTATGCAGAGAAGGAAAGAAAGAGTAATAGTTTTTGACAATTTTTACCTCCTGGTTCTGTGCCCTTCATGAAGTCTAGCTATACTTCTATACTTAGGTGACCTAGGAAACATGTTCTTCCAGTATATTTGAATGGTGTTTTATTTCTTGCCACAAGTATGGGTGGAAGGGAGTCTTGACTAAGAAAATCATCAAGCCACGGGTTATGTACCAAATCATCAGACCTGAAATCATTTAATTCAGCTAATTTTTCAACATAGAAGTTATGCTTACTATAAGCTAAAATTCATTTAATGGCCATATCCCTACTTCACAGTCTACCAAATTTAAATTCAACAAGCACATATACCTAATATATACAAGTATTAATACAAATTTTAGAATAGTATACATTAGCCTAGGACTTTGTAAAATATTTTAAAAGTAATTTAAAAGTAATTGTCTTTAAAAGTAATTTTCACAATATTCTTGTGAGTTAAAGAGGACAATTATTATTAAACTCACTTTAAAACTTGGGAAATATAAACTGAGGAAATGATTGAAGGTGTTAAATCTACCCAGCTAATAACTGGGATTTTAACCTAAGTGTTCTGAATCCGAAGACATACTGTTTCGTATACAACATATAGTACGGTTTAGTAGCAAAGAACACTGGATTTGAAATTAGCCAGAGAATACAAAACTCAATTGTTTCCACTTCCTTTCTTTCATGGGAAAGTGACTTCATCTTTCTAAATCCCAGTTACCACATCTAAAAAGTGTAGATAATTACACTTGCTACTGAAGTTGGGATGAAATTGAATACAATAAATGCAGTTGAAACCCTTAAATATTTTGGAATATACTAAGGACCCAATAAATAATAGCTGATATTATAATGAACTGGAAAGGATACTGTTAGAAAACTTTTTAATCCGTTTTAAATCTGCATGAGTAGATGTGAAGAGAAATTCCTGTAGGCCAGTTCCACCTTGTGAAGTCTGCTGACACCCGGTGGCTGGGGAAGGAAAAAGCAAAAGCCCTGGAGTGAAGTGGAGGTTGCTTATCCTTCTTTCTCCTGGTATGAGCTGCTTAAAAGATAAATCACTTATCCATTCTTAAAGAGCCCATCATCCTGAGGCAAAAAGTATTTCAGAGCTACTCAAATATATATTTATTGTAGGATCTTAGTTTTAGAACTATGGTCATATTTTTTTGAAAAGTAGACATGGGGAGAGATTCCGTAACAATATGAGACCTCC